ATACTGGCCAAAATCACTGGATATTTGGCGGGGTAAAAAGTATAATCCATTACAATTCAATAGTCTAAACCGTCTGCATTTACTGTTACTACTCGACCCATTTTATTTATATTTCTTTTTGCACTTTTAAGTCTTAAAAAAAGGCCCTATTATATTTTTCCCTTCTGTTTTTGTGCATGTAAATGGTCGGCAAAGGCTACAATCCCAAAGTTCCCTACAGAGGTAGTTTCTCTCCCCCACACTCTTTTCTACACATGCTTCTATTGGCTAGCACTCCCACACATTGTACGTGATAGGCTAAGGGGCGGGACATCTCTAAGTGGTTGACCAATCACAACAGAGCCAGCCAGCTAACCAATCAGAGCAGACGTGGCTCTTGTTGTTGCTTAAATGGAGAGAAATCAGACATTCTCGTCACATGTTACACTGTGTGCATAATCTTGATCCATAGCACACGCCCTTCACAGTCAAATAATAGGCAACCTTTAACACACTGGCTGCAATCATTGTTTTCATTATTGATTAACCTGCATTTTATCTTCTATCTAGATTAATGATTCAGTGTTATAAAAAAATCTGAATTTCTCAAGAACATAAGAATTTCTATAAACAAAGAAAAACTGGACAAGAGGCTGAAACTGCCATGTTTGCGTGAGATATCGCTCTAAAGATGATTACATTAGTGAAGTGATTAGTCTTCTATAGATCACCAATTGTTAAAGGTCTATGTAACAGTACTAGTAGAGTCTCTCGGGCCCCGTCACATTTCAGCGGGTCCCACCTCTGCTGCTCTCGGGTGCCAGAGGGAGGACAGATGGCCTCAATCTGCTGGTGGAGGGAGGCTGGGCAAAACTCCTCCGGACAGAGGACCATTTACAGCATTTCTACGTCTATAAAACAGTGACTCAGACCTCATCTTGTTTAGATAAAAAATAACCTGTGTGAATGAACAGGGATAGGTGCTGCTCATGGAAAATGATGTATTTATAGAGTGAACAAGCTGCACAAATGTCAACAAACTCTGCCACACACACACACACACACACACACACACACACACACACACACACACACACACACACACACACACACACACACACACACACACACACACACACACACACACACACACACACACACACACACACACACACACACACACACACACACACACACCACACACACACACACACACACACACACACACACACACACACACACACACACACACACACACACACACACACACACACACACACTTTAAGATGTGGAAATAGAGAAGACACTCTGTTAAGTCAGGTGGAAATCCCATTAGAAGTAACAGAAAAAATAATGGAGACTCCTGGGAAATAAGGGGGTGTGTTGGCACAGCTAGAAGCAGCCAACCCTGCAATCAGGAGGTCAGCCAAAAACAACAATGACTTGAATTCCCTGAAACACATGTAAACCAGGGGCGTTAGCAATATACTAGTAACAAAGCTAGCTATTTGTTAGCAGCATCCCTTTCCTGTAGTGTGTTATACAGGTTTTTGTGACATTTTAGACTCAGTAGGCTAAGGAGGAATTCTTTTCAGCTTTCTTTTGACACCTAGCGCAGTAACTATGCTACGCTGCTGCAAAGTAGGAATAACAATGGCTTTACTATTCTCTATTCAAAGTGTTCTGGTATTAAAATATGTCATATGTCCAAGTTGCACCACTTGGCTCCCGAGAAATACACCCACCAGGTGTGAAAAGTTCTTGAGAATGTACATGTTCTCTTTGGCAATTAAACCGAGTGTCAAAATCTTTGTGCATGCTATTTTCAGAACCTTTTGTGTGGAAGGGAAAAAATGGAGAGGAAGAAATTGGCTATTTCCATAAGTAGTGAGGACATATCCCCAGTATAAATGACACCTATGATGTCAAACAAAAAGAGTTGCAGCTTCTCTGTGTGCACGCTGGATCCCTGGGACCCGCTGTTTATTGCAAATAAAACGGGAACATTGCGAACATTTGCAATTAGCGGGTAATTATCATGTTACAGGGCAGTACGAGGTTATTATAAGCATGGGACTGAGATCTCAATTGGTTAATGTAATGTGTGGGGATTGGATTTTGAGGAGAGCCATAAAGCTAAATGACCTGCATCGTACGGTGGGAGCACTTCGGTGGGTGGAGGCTGTGGGAGATTACAGTCCGAGAGTGAGAAGGTCAGTGTGTGGGCAGAATCAAACGCATCCCGTTTGAAAAAAGGAGTGTTATAGCGACCAATCTGGGCTGGAAAGGTGGTTTGGGTCAATTCCACTTCAATAAACCCCCCCCCTTTGGCTTCACATCAAGTTGTTACACATGAGCAAAACCGAACACCGCAAGTCATTTTCAGCTCGTTTCAGAGCCACAGGAGGGGGAGTGAAGCACTGAGAAACACACACTGCTACAAAGACGTTCTGCAGGAATGCCGTTTGCTTACAGAAAATCCACAAACATTTCCACCAAAATCAGTTCACCTAGCTGCTGAAAACTGGCACATCTTTGCCGTTACGCATCCATCAATCATGCCACCGCTCCCCGCTGCGAGTTGATTTAATCTCCGACAGCCTTTTTTCATGTGCGAGGTGAGTGTGTGGGCTCTGTCGGTGTGTCAAATTAACGCTTCATCAGAGCCCGGCCCCGGGAGCACAGCTTCTCTTTACTATAGGACACTCCAAAAGTGACAAGTGCTGCATTGAACCCACGCTACAGCAGGATAAGGAGGACGTGGGGGGGGGGAACACAACTAAACTGGAATATCTCTGGGTTTACCTCTGACAAGAAAACAGAGGATCCGTTATAGTATCTGTATGGAGCTGGATCATTAAGCAGAGGTGGAAGTACCAGAGTGTAAGAATACTCCGTTACAAGTAAGTATACTGCAGGGTAGCTTGTGAATTTAATCCAGGTGTAATTTAAGTCTTATTTAAAATGCAGATTATATGTAATATCTTTAATCCAAATCTGCAAAGTAACTAAAGGTATTACATAAATAAAGTAAAGTAAACGGTTTACCTCTGAACTGTAGTGGAGTAGAAGTACAAAGAATTGAAATACTCAAATAAAGCCCCTCTAAATGTTACTTACCTACAGTACAGGAGTAAATCTACTTAGTAACTTTACACCACTGAATGTAAGAAACTCGATGAGAGCATTTGGTCAGACTTTCCAGCAGAACTAGTTTCCACCTCACACACACACACACACACACACACGGTTTGAACCTAGATTACAGTGCTCTGACTTTTCCTTTGACTGACCACAAAACCATATGCAAACATGCAAGATTTGCATCCGCATATTATTTTTTTGGCAGTGTTATTTCAAGGCTTCCATTACTGATAGCATGAGCAGACATCGCTGTGCGTGGCAGTGAAGGGAAAAAAGGGAAGCTCAGCAGGCAATAACATTTACAGATGATCCATTGACTGAAGAGCACACACACACAACCTACATAATGTAAACAAACACATGGAGGGTTTGCTTTAAGGAGCTGAATCATGCTACACATGGTCGTTAAAACCATCTCTATATAGTGTGTTCACAATGTTCCTTTTACATTTAATATGGTATTCCTTGCACAGTTAAGGTAAATAATATCCTGATTTAAAATGTTGAAAGCTGTAATTAGCCCTTCATAGTGTATATTTGACAGTCTAAAGTCTCTATGTTTATTGTCTACTCCTTATATGCAATGCCTTGTTTTAACATACTGCTCTGTCGAAAACGTTTCCCAAGGTGGGATCAACAAAGTCAAATCTTATCTTAATGGCCAAACACATCAAAACCAATCGAGTTTCTGCAGCCAACACACTCATTTAAGCACACACTTGATCTCTCTCTCTCTCTCACTCAGATTCCCCTGGTGTACTTAACACAAACGCAGGTAAAAAGAAGCAGCCAAATGTTCCATGAGAGTGGCTTTTACTCCAAAAACAGGAGGGTGGACCACAGCCATTTTTACCTCTCACAAACACTCCAGGAAATGTTCCCACTAACAGGGTAAGAGGGGGTCGCAACTTTACCACCCCCACTCTCCCCAACACACACACACACACTCTGCATCTGCTCCCACAGCAATGACGGTGTAATGGTCCACATGCAATCCAAGGCCATTGCACCCTGACCCGCATACTGCTGCAACAACACCCACACATCTTTTTTTAAACAAACTCAGCGGTGGGTTGCCAGGTAAATATTCTCCTAATGCAAAAAGGCTGAGGATCCAAATCCAATACTTTAGCATCAGAAACTTGCCACAGCTTTATAAACAGCCACACCTCCTTATGAAATCTACATCTGGTTACATTTCCAGAGGAGCAATGGCCACACAAGCCCTCCTTTAAGCCCCATTTTCAAGCCTCAAGGATCCTTCTTAGGACATTCTGCCACCAAAACCCATCCCCTAATTTTAATGTGTAGTCAATTATTTATGTTTAATACAACTGATATTTTAATGGACCCAAGCCAGTGGAAGAACAAACCACTCTGCACTTCTATTATGACAGCCACTTATTAAGATGCACTTCCCCTCTTTTGTGTGTAAGAATAGTATGTTGTACTTTGCCAAAGACACATTTCCAGTACATGTTAATTTAATGGTCAATAAAGTATTCTGGATCTAAAAACAAGCTGTGCAGGGAATTTTTTTTGCGCTGCGTTATTTCAACTTAGATCATTTTAATGGATGTGCTTTCGAGACACATTTACAAGCAGCAGGGTTTCTTTTTTAAAACACTCATCGGTTAGGTTGTCAGGTAATGTAATGCAAAAACGCTTAGGATCCAGATCCAATACTTTGACATCAGAAACTTGCCACAGCTTTATAAACAGCCAGACCTCCTTGTGAAATCTACATCTGGTTACATTTCCAGTAGATGACCGCACAAGCTGGACATTTTTGCGCAGCGTTATTTCAAGTTATATCATCTGATGGATGTGTTTTTCGAGGCAGGGCATTTACAAGCAGTCAAACATCATATACTCACTGTGGTGTGGATGTAGGTTAATGGCCGATGGCATGAATTTCCCCGAGTGGAGAGGCGGTGGATGGCCGGGAGAGGGAGGGATCCTCCCGGCTGCAGCTGCTGCTCCGAGGCGGTGAGCCTCCATGGAGAGACCCGCCAACAACGGAGGCGGACCGTGGACGGATCGGGGGGGTCCAAAATCTCTGCCATCCATTATCCACAGTGGGGAAAGTTGTGAAAAAAATAGTCCGTTCGGATATGCCCCCTATTCCCCAAAAAAAGCCTATAATGTCTTTAGTTTTCCAGGCGATTCGGGCTGCTTTTCAGCCATCCTGCTGACCTAAAAAAACAAATACAAGAACACATTTCCTTTATCTATAATGTTAAATAAACTGTTTTAGGTTTTCTCCTGCTTGCAGCGTATAAGCGGTCCATATGTGCAATGACGCAGTTTGGAAAACCACTTCAAAAACTAAACGTAGAGAAAGCTGATCGACAGAATAAGCGTATGAGTTGCTCCTGGTGCATCTTAACTGCAGATCTTAATGCATATTTAAATTAAATCTACAATATTATGATCTAATGTTGGAGTGGCAGCAGCACCCCACCCCCTCTGCGCTACACCGAGCCGATCCGGAGCTCCTCTTCCCGGGGAAACACAGCCAGGAGACGCCGGAGACCAGCTGCTCTCTCCGGCCATGAAAACAAGCCGAAACGCACACGGTCAAATTTTAACAACCTATTCTGCCTTTTCCCGATTACCCAGCTGTTTCCGAAGCAATGTAGGCTATGGGTCGAGTCGCCCTGTAAACCAATACACCATAAATACTGAAAGGGCGCATCAAATATAAATTTCAAACGGGTTAAAAATAAATAAGGTTGCAAAAAGCCTGCATCATTAATCAGCGGGCGAGCGGTGTTTTGTTGCCCAGAGAGGACGATTTAGTCCGGGCTGCTTCGCTTTTTTTGGACATGGGTGCTGCCCATGGAAAGAAATAAAAACCAAAATACTTCGATTTAAAAAAAAAACTACCTTTTGGATCTTAAATGTGTAAGATTAAAAACTGTTATTAAGATATAAATATGTTTTTTATGATAAATCGACAGTTTATTTTGTGTTAAAAATCAAAATCGACCCAAGCAAGGCGTATTGAATCTGTTAAATATTGATAAAAAAATGTTTAGAAAACCAGGTTATAAGACAAAATCTTCTATTTAAAAAAACAAAACACTAGAATAAAAGTTACTTTAAGAAGAACAACAACAAGCTACTGGGACTTTTTCCTAAGACAATGAGACAATTGTGTGCCTTTTTCTGTACATAAAACCTTTGAATAGACATTAAAACGGTGTAAAATTAGAGAATTTAAGTTTAAAACAACAAGTTAACCTTCAAAGGCTTCAAGCAAACAGCGGAGACTCGTGATATGCAGGCGGGCGGGATCTGAAGAATAGGCTGGTTTAGAAATAACAATAAACCTTTATTTCTCTTTGAGCGAATAATAGCACCACCAGAAACAAATATTGCCTCTAAAAGCCCCTCTGAAATACACTGGGGAGGTTAAATTAAATGGTAACCCTTCCTCCGCGGTTGACCCATGCGGCTCGGCGGCGGAGGAACACGGCTGCAATTCAGCCACGTTTCAAACTTTTTCACGGTTCCTTTAACGCACATACAGACAACTTTTTCGGCGGAAATGTTTACAAAAGTAGCATTTTAACACCAATAACAGCTCCTAAAAAATCAAAAATGACGTTAGCACCCCTCCGCGCCCTTTTCACTTACATTTACAGCTCAAAATGTGCTTTAAAAACACCAAAAACTCGGTTATTCAAGGAGGAAAGAGGAAACCAAACAGGGAAGAAAAAAAACGAGCGTTTACTTGAATGTGGAGCTAAAAAAAAATGCTTTCTTAAAATCCGTCCAGGTTGCTGGGAGAAGTGGAGTAGTCCATTACAGGCTCGTCCGAAGGTAAACTGGGGGATAACTGTGGAAGGGGGGGGGGAGCCCCTGACGCGGCCGTAAACTCCTCAGCAATGAAACACAGCATTGTTTTTACAAGCCCCGCCCCTCTCCTCGATACCAGCCAATCAGGGACCAGAACAGAACGTTTCACACAGCTGCGTTCTGATTGGCTGCGAGAAGTGTCAATCAAAGACCTCTGTGTTAAAAATACTACTTTTTACTCCACTACAATTATTTTAAACTCATAGTTACCAGCTACTGTGTACATATAATAACACATGACATTTTTATATGACATAATGCTGTGTTGTATTACCAATATATATTTAAGGAAAATCTAAAATCATCTATCCATATTATTTAATGTCTTTAAGTGTCTGTTTTAAGCAATTAAAACAATGAATAATTGAATGTTCTATAATAATATAATACTTTCACAACAGCCATTGTTCATAATGTGTACTTTTACTTTAAATACTTTAAGTACATTTAGCAAACACTTCCCACAAAAATGTCCCACCTTCAGATCAATAAAGTACTGCTTATCTTATCTTATCTTTCCGCACTTCTACTTCAGTAACATTTTGAAGCATTTGAAGCATTGTATTAACAAGCCCCGCCCATCTGCTCGCTACTAGCCAATCATAGAACGTTTCACACAGCTGCGTTCTGTTTGGCTGCGAGAAGTGTCAATCAAAGTCCTCGGTGTTAAAAAAACAACAACCTGGCCGCTCGCCAGCACTATAAAACCAATTATGGAGCAAGGAGGTTGAGCTGTTTCAAGGTCCCCTCTCCCTTCAAGACTGAGTGATCAAAACAAGCGGTGGGTTTCTTTTCTTTTAGCGGGAGGGGGGGCAGTTTCAAGGCGACCCCCCCCCCTCACCACGCTAATTATAATAGACGCTCGAAGATTTGGAAGTATGGGGGTGTTGTTACCGTTACAATATTACATTGGTTGTAACGTTGTGTGGCCTCAGTATACCCATTCTTAGTGGATAATAGCCAGTACATCACTTTTCCATTAAACCCTTCAAAAGGCAAGCGAGGGGCCTGTATGCAAACATCTAAAACTTGAGATAACAATCTCACGATTTCTAAAGGCCCCTTCAATTAATGCTAATTTAATTATTCAATTTAATTTGGGAGGCCACAATTTGGGCGTTGTTTTCCCCATAGGCCAACCCAAGACTACCCATAATGGGTCAGTCATTATGTATATAAAGCCTATATTCTTACGGGAAGAAAGAAAAGGGAAAACCCAATAACAGAGATTAGCACTAACATTGGACATGTTCATGCACGTCCATCATAGCCAGGAGGAATACTGAGAAAAAAGTCCATACAATAACAGTAATCTTTATAAAAATGTTTGCACTGAACACCACGACGTGTATGTGCAGCTAAGACGTGCACATTGAGAATATGGCCTTTATTTGATTTATTTGAGTTATATTGTGAGTTATAACCTAGTCTTCTGGCATGTATCACAGGTCTGTTATCATGTCACCCAGGAACGCACCAAGATGTATTTGTCGTCACCTTAATGGCAGCTTTATTTGTAATTCTCACCCAGGAATAAAGCCAGGCTCTCGGTATGCAAATGCCCTTAACAGCCTGTAGTTGAAGCAGCGCTGCATGTCTCCTTGTGTTGAGTTTTAGCGGGGACGCACACACATTTGCATTAGAAGAGGAGGAAAAGTGCCATTATGCTAAGATTCAGAAAGGGGTAGCTCGACCTTTGGGGTTCTAAAAACATGCCCTCCTCTTACGCAGTGCTGTCATAGTTCTTTTTTTTTATCATCCAGAAGTTTCCTTTGAGGTTAACCACTCGGCGTTACATTTGCAAAAAAAATGTTGATTAAAAAAAGAATCTCAGACGGTTTCAAACTCCCCTCTCCTACAGTCCCGCCTCCTCACAGTGAGCCGGTTTCAAGGAACCCCCATTTGGTAGGTGGAGAGGAAGCGATACGACAGAGGCAGCAGAACCGGAGAGGGAGCGGAGAGAGAGCAGAAGAGACGCCGAGAAACAGCAGCTTTAGACGGCATGAGCGGAGAGAAGATCCCGGTGTGTGGTTCTCGGTGTTCCGGTCGCTTTCGGTGGTTACACTTCCTTGTTTTCGGTAGGAAAAACAAACGTTCCACCTAGCGAAAAGAAGCAGAAACCTTTTTTTAGGTTATTTGTACTATTACATTATAATTGTATCTTTATTTTTTGGCTATTTTGCGTTAATAAAAAATGGATAGATAGATTTATAGGGGGAAAGGGAATGTTTGTTCCGAGCGGGACTCGAACCAGGGTCTGCAGCAGCGACCTGTCGCGTCTAACGATACCCAGGGGAGGAGGGGGGGGGGAGTCACCCGGCGGAGATCAGAGCTGATGTCCCGGCCCGGGCTCCGAGGGGACCAAGCCAGCCTTTGTTCTCCAAAATCTGTCCGACTGGGAATTCAGACAAAGCCTTGAGATTATTAGGGCCCTATTGTTGCTGTAGTCGTTTCACCCCGCGTGCAGGAGGCAGCCTTCATCTCCTCGTGTCTGTTTTTCTTGTGGTGCTCGCGGGGGGTTATCTCCACTTCTACGTGGCTGCTGCACGAGCATCGTGATGGTATTCAATACATTTTTATTAAACAGCTTAGTCATGATTCTACGGAAGAGGATTAGAGCCACATGAGAAAAAAAATGTTGGGATGTGACCAAAAGTTTTTTTTTAAATCTAAGAATTCAGAGGAAAAAATCATAATTCGGTCTTTTTTCTCTGCAATTTATGGTTGCTTTAATTTAAAGATATTTTCTTAAGTATTTCCAGATTTAGGAAGTAATGGAATACAAGTAACTGCGTAATTAGGAAGGTAATCATAGTCCTTTAGCTACAGTTTCATAAAAAAGAGGTAATCAGAAGACTGGTACATAAAATGTGGATTACTAGAAGGAAACCACAATATATGAACACATGCAGAATTAACACAACGTTTATATTATGATACATCGATTAGGTTACTGATTACATGTTTTACTGGTAATTAGTAATTGAAAGGCACTAGTAATCCTCCCTGGCTATTATCTTTTATGACAATGTGACCTTCCTAAATTATTATAGCCCGGCATGGTGGTGAATTTAATACATCCATCAGCAGTTCAGACAAAATAATCCAATAAAAATAACATTACTGCACTCTCCAGCTACAGAAGAACAATTGGTGGTTTACGTCCAATTTTCCATCATCACTGTGATTATTTCTCTGTTAGGCTTATTATCCCAGTGATGCGTTAGTGCCGGAGCAGATGGGACGTTTGGTAGATTATGTTTTTTTATAGCCTATATACACCAACTGGGTTTCTTTGATGTTGTTCCAAATTAAAGCTCCAAGCTTGTCCTTTATGTGGGTGGAAAAGAAACACATGATTTATCGCCTGAAACACTGCTGAGTCAATACAAACCACAGTCAGTTTTTCATACGACGACTAACACTGTTTTTATTCTGCAGACCAAAGATTACAGAGCGAGAACATTTGTTATCCCTGACTCATGTTTTAGTTTTCTTTCATTTCCCCGTGTTGTTTTTCCCTCTTATCAGTCCACATCAAACCTGTCCAAACATCATCGTCGGGTTAATTCTGTCTATCAGCTGAAGGATCAGGTAAATGATTTTAGACTTTCTGAGGCGTGTGGCTGCATTAACCCACAGGGGACGGGGCTACAGCATTGATTAATTCAGAGTTTGGGGGGGGTTGTCCTCTCTGGAAAAGAAATACATAAATAAGTAAACAGAAAGATGTCCCCCTGCATAAGCACCCACCCTTCAAATACAAATAAACCTCTCACTTTGGCTGCTAATAAAGCCTGAATGTACGACCATGTTAAACATATTTTATACAATATTCCTCAAATGAACGGCAGGCATAAAGATATTTTACGTGACCTCTCACACACCGGTGCGCCTGTAAGTGCTAAATCATTCATCGTATCTTGTCTCAGGCACCACAGAAGAAGAAGTCTATATGTTATTAAAGCTGCAGGAACATAAAACCACTGCATGACCTACAGCCTTCATCTGTTTACCCATCACAATGTATTTATTACTACAGTAAACAGTGTTTTATTTCACTTTACAGTATTGTACAGTATGGCTTCTGTACATATGACAATAATACCGTTGAATCTTGATCGTGACCCAAGGCTAATGGCAGTGTCATGTTTTCTGATTGCATGAAACAAACATATACAGAGACAAATATATATGCAATAAACATGAGTCTGAGATGACTGACATCACCACACACTCACCAACCCCCCACTTCAAGCACACACACACACACACACATTCATACATTCAGCTCTCATGGGGTACCTGCCAATCATCAGACAGTGGCTTGCAGGGTTTATTGGTGGATCACCAGGGGGTGGGGGGGTGTTTGCTGAAGGATGACCACATGCACACCACTCTCAAGACTGAATGTGTTAAAGTGGTCAGATGACATGAATGCACAAAGAAAATCTTAAAACGGTCACATGATTATTATTTGTCCCCTTAAAGAGAATTCATTTCATGGTTTGGTCGTTGACTCATTTTTGGTTTCACTGGTGGCTTCAATAGAATGAACTGTTTGTAGTGGGTGTGCAAGAAAATATTTATACAAGCCTATGAATCGGTGAATTGATGATGTTTTTTTTGTAGGCCGACCAGGAAATTAACATTGCAAGGGCTCCCGTGACAACCTAGCAACGGGATTTTCCATTGAATTTGGAATATTGCATACAAAAATACATGTTTATGATGCTTACACGTTTTGATCAGCAGGATCATCTCCACATATTAACCACTGTCGTTACATTTGAAGCGTAAATGCAATTGCCATAGGTAAAAAGCTAGGCTATAAAGGAACGACATCAGGGTCACATGACTTTACGTCACCACCGCTAAGCTAAAAGCGGCTAATGTTCAGCGTGTCTCGTTTAGTCACTTGTTAGCAACCACAGTTTTAAAGACACATACGCTTCAGACATTCACCAGTGGAGTATTTACTGACTTACTCTTATCAAAACGGAAACAC